AATCTTATCCCCATTTACGTTCACCAGACCCATCTAGACAAGATAAAAACTATTCAGTGGGGATTCTACCTTCCCTCACTCACACTGAAACTAAACTCCCTCATGAAAACTTGTAAGTCACCCCCTGCCATTAGGTATCCACTCTCTAAGTTGCTTGTCAGGCAACATTACTTTTTAAAAATAAAATTTTATTGCATATTTCTTAAGTACAAGTATTTATATGGATAGATTTAAATAAGAAATATATATATTTTTTCTTATTTAAGTATTTCTCGACCTTCTGAGAAAAGTACTATTATTATCCCCATTTAATACATGAAAAAAATTGAGCTCAGACAGGTTAAGCAACTTGCCTAAACTCACACAGTCTAAGGGGAACTGTGTTGGAAGAAATGCAGTCAGAATGCTCCTTAGAAGCCAGGATGGCGAGACTTCATCTCTTATGCTTGGGATGTGTTATCAGGAAGGACCAGTCCCTGGGAAAGGATACCCTAAAGGGGAGGGTCAGTTAAAAAGAGGAAGACCTCCAACGAGATAGGTTGGCACAGTGGCAGCAACAACGGGCTCAAGGGTAGCAACAATTGTGAGGATGGTGCAGACCAGGCAGTGTTTCATTCTGTTGTACATAGGGTCACTATGAATCAGAACTTACTCAATGGAACCTAACAACAACAAGAAGTAAGGAGAAGAGTTTTGCTTGTCTGACTCCAAAGCCCATCCTTTTAACCACTATACTAGACCTTCTAGAATCTAGGTGGCCCAGTTTCAGACAGGGTCTGCACTGAAAAGATGCTATTCTTGGTCTTACCTTCTGAGGACTTGTCATGTCATACCCATATTACACAATAGTCCACTGATCAGAGGGTTTCCCATACTCCATCTACACATCCATCAGCAAACAAATATTTAGTGAACACCTTATTTAGTAACAGTTATTACTTCCTATAATCAACACAGGAATTGTTAAGTTAAGAATAAATTACTTTGCCTTAGCATTGCAAGGACTTGACTGTTTACTTTCTAATACATGATTTCACTGTGTGCTCCCAACTCTTGGATACAGGAATGATTATTTTCATTTCACAGCTGCAGGAACTGTGTCTTGCCAAGGTTCCAGAGACAGGAACAAGGGAGCTGCGTCTAGAACCTAGCTCCACTGACACCAAGTCCACCATTCATACTATTACACCAGGATGCTTCCTCGGGCACCAGGAATGATCAATGGTCTTCACTTCTAGGGCCCCAGTGACTCCCACTTTTCCATTCCAGACTGTGGAAGAAAGACTGAGGTAAATTCTAAGTTTCAGACCCCTGTGTGCTTGATAGCCCAAAGCTTCACTCAGGTCTGGGTCTCCTGCCTAAGTGGAGAAAATGTGACCCACGTGGGACAGACCCTGCCTCTCTGTCCTCAGTTTCCAGGTCTGAGACTTTGAGGAGGAACATTCCTGTATTTCACAGGGATGAAAATAATTAGCTATTTGGTTTTTGCTGAATATCAGTATCCCACTGTAGGTTTTCTGTTAGTTGTGACAGCAGATATTGGGGAAGCTAATGCTCTGGTTGTGGGGAGAAGAAGAGGTCATAAGGACAGACTCAGGATATAAATAGCATCAGGCACCATATTGCTTGCATCTTCCAGGACCAGGAGTTTTGCCTCAAGCTGAGGTGAGCAACGGCTTCACTAGGAGAGCTGCGCTGTGTCAGTGGGATGAGCCAGGCTCTGTGCTAGTTTACTTTGGCCTGCTGAAGGGACGTCTTCCAGGGAAGGAAGTTGCCGAGGGGAAAGGCATCTCCTCTAACCCTCTGGGCTTTTGGGGAACCTAGGCAGAAAACCTCAGCGAGGCAAGAGATGGAAAAGTGTGCAGAGTGTGCAGCTGCTGCTCCTCACAGAACACAATGGGCTGTTTAAAGCTGTTTTTCCAATGGGCTCAAATGGCTGGGGCCCTCTCGACCCAGGGCAGCCTCTCCTGGGGCAGCTTGGGTGGGTCTGGAAGCCAGAGCTCCCCCCTGTGTGTGGGAGCAGAGTCTAAACTGCGGAAACCACCAGGCTTGAGGTTGTCTTTGGACTGCTTTGACTTCGTTTAGCCAAACTGATATCCCTTCATATTGTGTGAAAACATTAGCTCCCACGCTGGGACTCCAGACTTTTGGTTTAGAGCACATTTTGCCATTGAAAGTATTATTGGGGTGAGTTTAACCTTCTGTTATGAGAATAACACTGAAATGAGGTCCCTCCGTCTTTCCTAAGATGTTTTCAGACTATGTTTCCCCCTAGGAGGTCCAGGGCAGCAAAGACATTTTTTTAGATGATGTCCTATGTGCTTGCAAGCAAAGGATGGTACAAATGGTTAAGCACTGAACTACTAACCAAAAGGTTGGTGGTTGAGCTCACCCAGAGGCATCTCAAAAGGTCACAACCTTACGCTATGAAGTTCTGTTCTGCATTGTATGGAATTGTCCTAAGTTGGAACTGACTTGAGGTTGACTGGTTAGGCTTGTATGCATGTGTGCCTGTGTGTGTCTTGCAGTATTGGAAGTAGCTCTCCAGGACTCTCCATGCTGATGGAACTGTTCACTAACAAAGCCTGCCTGGATGGGAACTTCATAACAACCCTGACCCACCACTTCTATAAGGTCATCCAGGATCCTGCAGGTCTAGCAAGCCTTATAAGAAAGGAACTGTTTGTGGGAGGGGCCTAGGAAGGCTGTGGCCACTGGCACTGAAGCCCAGTACAAAGCCACAGACACAGGTCAGTGGAAGGGCTCCCTCCCCACAGCCTTTATCTGACCAAAGTATCTCAGCACAGAATGTTCTGGTTGGTATTTCTTGAACATAAATCTTTATTCCAATTGCAGTAGATTTGATAGAAAAAGACAGGGCACTATTCATCATGCTTTTACCCTAATCAAATGTCTCTCTTGCCAAAACACTCTACTTTTCTAATTTGCCCTATTTGGATTGGGTTGAGGGTGGAACAGGGCAGTGAACGTTAGTTACAGAGGAGTGAGTTTGACTGTTTGCTTTTTATCAGAGGGATAACCTGGGCTTCCTAACCGCAAGATTGGTAGTTCAAACCCACCAGCTGCTCCTCAGGGGATGATGAGGCTGTCTGTGCCTGTAAAGGTTTAGTCTTTGAAACCCTGTAAAACAGATGTGACTATGAGCCTATGGAATTGACTTGATGGCAATGGGTTTGTTTTATTGTTTTTCCTCATAAAAAAACAGAGTAGGCACTTCACCCTGGGGGGTATGGGAGGAGCTAGGGGGTGAAAAAGAAAAATTGCCATGTCTGGACACAAAGAAATGTGGCTTCAGGGAGAACACAAAATGCAAGTGTCAGGGGGAGGATGCAGCACACGGCTGGGCAGAACCTTGTTCCTGGCATGCCCTGAAATCTGTCACTTTCGTCTTTCCTTAAAATGCTCTTATGTACGAAGTATTGATGAGTGTGTTTAAAATGAAGGAAAGGAAATCTACTGAGGGTGTTAGGCATCCCTGGGTGGTGCAAATGGTTACATTCACAATGACTATCTGGAAGTATGGAGGCTCAAAACCAAACAGAGGTGGCTTGGAAGAAAAGTCTGGCAATCTGGTACAGAAAGGTCACAGCCACTGAAAACCCTGTGGCACCATTTTACTCTGCAACACACAGTATCATCATGCATCTGAATTAACTAGATAGCAACTGATTTGCTTTTATTTTTATCGAAAGTGTTGGATTTCTTACAGGCAAGGGGATGCTGGTGAAGGTGAGATGATACTCCCTCTTACTTTTTCTGTTCTTTTGTCCCCATTTTCAGAATTGTTTTTTTTACCAGTCAGGGAGGAAACCCCAGGTTTGGTGGAGCAGAAGGCAACTGTTTCCTCTCTGGCATGCCCCCTGCCCCCCTCTTCACCACCCCGTTCCTCAATGATTTGTTAGTTTCTAGTTGGTATGGCACTGTGGGATAATGCACTGGAGCGCAAGGTTGGTTTGAACTGCAAACTCACTGGTTCAAATTCACCAGCTGCACCTTGGAAACCCTATACAGGGTTGCTATGAATTGGAACCAACTTGACCACACTTAACAACAACATTTATTTTTGTCTTTTCTCCCAGCCCCTTGGCCTTTGATCCCAGCCATGCGTTTTGTCAGTTGTGGAAATCACCCAATTAGGAATGTTATAAAATAGTTCTCAAGAGTTCTTCCCCAACAAGTCTCTGGCTTCCTTGGTTATGCGCCAATGTTGGGATCATTGGAAAGTTGCCGGAGCTATTGGTGGGTAGCAAGCATGCTGAAGTCTCTAAGGCTTTCCCGGCTCAAAAAAGTCACTGGAGGATAAATCGAGGACTAGCCACAAAATCAGATCTATGGTGACAGGCCTCCTGAGATCATGTTGTTACAACTCTTTTGATCAGATTTCAGCAGAAAGCAGATCTCCTTCTAGAAACAAGCCAGCCTCAAGGTCTTGGGGGCAAACTTCCTCCCATCTATGCAGCATGTCCCTCCAAGACTGAGACAGGGCTTTTCGGAGCCCTATGCTTGCAGTCATCTGCCTTCTCCTGAGACTCCACAAACTTCCTGGCATAAAGCAACCAAGGCTGGTGGATCCAGGTTGTGGGGCAGGTAATCCAAGGATTAGGTAGCTTTGGCTCTGGAATGCAAAAAAACAAAGTTTTACTCCAGCAGACTTCCCTTCCTAATCTTGTCTGGCTTAGGCTAATATCTGAAACCAGTTTGCCATCCCTAAAGGAGCTAAGGACTAGGCGAGGCATTTTGCCCTGGACAACTCACCTTGCGTATTCCCAAAACCTGCCAATGATCCAATCGAGAAAAATGACTAGAGTGCCAACACGCAGATGCTTCCAAAAATTTAATAAATAATGGTTTCTTTAAACTGTATAAACTATAAATTACCATGCAGTCATTATAATTTAAAATAATTTACAGGTTGAGGTAGGGAGGGGCCTAGGAGAGTGGGGGTGTGTGGTAGAGGGGGTTGGGTAGTGCGGTGCGGGTCAGGCTCTTCTCCCAGTCTTCCTGCTGATCACACACACACAGGCCGTGTTGATCCGAATAAACCTCCAGGCTGTCTGCCTGTCATCCAAGGTCAGTGCCCTAGTGAAGGAGTAATTTGGGGCACAGTATGAGTTCCAGTGCTTTGAGTCTATACCCCTGCACCCAGTGTCGGCAGGATTGGGGTTCTGGCACTTGGTCTCAAAAAAGTACTGTTTGTATACAACGTTGTTAATGCTCACTTCTTTCAACACCATCACTTCTTTGCCCTTGATGTCCGTGGCGGTGGTCTTATCCCCAACCCACATGCTGACACTGTCACACACAGAGAACTCTCCCCTGTGGAAGATGGGGTGGGATGAGTCAGATCGCTTCCTCCTGTGAGTCCTGTTGAAAGGAGCAGCACCACCGGCCTCAAAGTCCAGGCCCTGAGCCTCTATGGTGAGAGATGGGGGCTGAGTGCTAAACAGTACTCGGGGTGAACGTAGCCGTCGTTTTTTAAACAGTTTGGGGTCCAGGGTGATGTTGTGGGCTTGCCCTGCCACCCTTGCAGTTATCACCCCAGCCGGGGCGCTGTGGGTTCTGCGGAGGGCTGTGTCAAGGGAATGCTGAAGCTTAGACCAATGGGCTTGGGAGATGGCGTGTCCTGCTGGGACATTGCTCTCTTCGTGTGGTTCTGCCTGTATGCCGATCAAAAACGCTGTGATCAGAGTGTAGAACAACATGGACATTACGCTATGCACCTAGAATGAAGCAGAAATGAGGGTTATGATACAGAATGCTGAATGTCCTAAAAGTCACAGTTTCTGTGCTCCCCAGAGTTGACCTCCCATGAGAATCACGAAGAGGCCCACTGGTAGTCCATAGCTTAGGTGACCCTAGAGTGTATCATATAAACTGGGACACACAATAATTACCCTGGGGCAACTGGCAGAGCCCAAGGCTGACACAGACAACCTGGGGTGTGCAGGCACCCTATTATAGAGTCTTCTCCACGAAGAGACAGAATCCCTGAAATTCTGCTCTGAAGGTTGGCATGAAGTTGGAGCTGCACTTTCACAGTCATTACCATGCTCTGACTGACTGGCATTAGGGAAAAGAGTGGTAAGTGTGCACAAGGGTGTCCCTGGAGGCAGGCGGGGTAAGTATGACAGCTCTCCCCACAAGTGTTTCAAATGTGGCGGTGTCCTATCCAATAGCTTTGATTATCCCTGGGAAGGCATTGGGAAGAGCTGGGGGGACACATCTGGAAGCCTCAGCACTGAATAGGACCTCTTCAGATAGAAGAATTGGGACAGCTCGAAGACCTAGTGCCTTTGGACCCTTGTTGTAAAGCTGAAAAGCATCACATTTGACTAAAAAATCTATTCAGCTACCACACTTCACATAGAAATATGCTACTGCTGATGGTAATTGTGTCATGTTTTAAAACTTTTCAAATATGTTCCTTCTGATTTCTCATTAGTCTATGAGTTGGGTTATGATTTATCATCTATCTTTCACATATAAGGAAACTGATCCACAGTTCATCCATGAAATTAGCTGATGGATTTAAAGGCCCAAATAAAGACTAGACCAGAAATAGAATTCAAAGATAACCAGTCTCCCCTTCTAGCCATCTTTCCACCCTCTCTCCCTTTCTCTTTCACTCTTGAGTATATCTTTTCTTGTTACTGTTTGTTACTATGTGGAACTATCTATCACTTAGATGCCACACAAGCCCCTATTGAGCATCTGGGAGACAGGGCTTCATATTGCACTGTAGTCACCCACCAGGGACCACCCACTGGGCAAATAAAGTGAGCTCCTATTCACACCTGTAGACATATATCAACTTCACTTCCTCTAGTTTTCTTGGTAGAGGCACTCCCTATAAAGGGTGTTCTCCAAACTTCCAATTCTGTCACTTCCCCCATTTTTCCTTCCACTTTCCATCCTAGCTCTGATAGCACCTACTTTTTGAGGCCTTCTCAGATCACTCCCATCAGAGGTGATCTCATTCAAGTCTGAACTTCAGCAATATGTGCTCCTCTCCTACTGAATCAGTGTAATCTAAAGAACTCTGTGTTGGATCTGGGGTTAGAAAACTTAGTAGGATTCCTACCTCAGCTACTTGTTAGTAGAAAGAAGCTGCTTGACTACTTAGTTTCCTCATTGCTAAAAGGAGGACAATAAACAGGATTTTATAATGCTGGTGTTAAGATTAACTGGGTGCTAAAGAAACTGGTATCACTTCTGAGTATTTTAATCTCTTCATGGACATGGGTTTATTCTTTTTCAATTATGCTGCTGGTTAGTCATTCTCTGAGCACACCTCATCCATGCCTTCTCATAGCTCATTGTTTTGTCTCTATTAGACTTTTTTTTGTAAGCATTGTAATTAATTGAGTCTGTCTTTTCCAACTGTAAAGTCCTTGAGGGCTGAGTTGTAACTCATCCACTTGTATAACTAGTTACTCCATTCCTACCTCCCTTCCCTTGTCTTCCAGGATGGTTTGTGCATACCCCTGCCATTTCTTGTGTGGTTAATCATTTATATTACATTAAGATTCATTTAGAAGCTGTGTCATTTGAATTTTAATATATCTGGGCCCATGTACAGCATCTGGCATGAGGTATGTCCTCACACTCTGTTAAGAAGATTGAATGAAGGAGTGAATGAAGGGTAACCAGAGAAGTTCACAATCTGACCTCTTTCCATTATGGTGTAAGCTTTCATTTCTACTTGTGCTTTTGTGACCATAGGCAGTTTTTTTTTAAATCCATTTTAAAGTGAGTATTCTTCTCAATAATATGCTTTCATTCAGCTGGACATAGACAGCTCTTTGGTGTGACAGCAAGAAAGAAACGATCAAATTCTTTTCTAAAGAGTTACTTGGAAAAATCATTTGTCTACTCCAATTCTTCTGGGACTCATAGAGTGTTGATCAGTCATGTAGAGGAAGCAATAGCACGTCTACATCTTTGACCACCATTAGTTTTGTTGGCTAATGGTATTGTACGTACACGTCTAGTCAACTCCAGCTGACTATTCACTGACAGCTAGTTCAAGTCCTTTACTTTGCTCCTTCTCTGTTTCATTTCTGTCTTCTTCTCAGTACAACAGTATCTCTATCAGAGAGTGAACAGATGAAAGGAGAAAAAAAACAAAACAAAACAAAAACTCATCTTCTTATGTCTACATTAGTAACACCTGTTAGAATTTGGATAGGGAGAAGTGGAAATAGAAAATTCTTCAAACATCCAACTTCTAAGGAGTCAACTGGAATTTCTGTGCTGGCTCTTGAGCCCACACGCTCTTTTATAAGCCAGTGATAAGTCTCCAGATTCTTGACAAAGAACTCTTTATGGATATTGGCAGTTTAAATACAAGACATCCCAAACAAAAATCGTCACACTCCCTCAGTCTAATCATCATCTCTCTTCTTCTTCTTCTTCTTCTTCTTCTTCTTCTTCATTCAACCTCAGCAGCTCCGTTCTGGATCACTTAATGATTTACAAAGAGTTTGACTGCTATTATCTCTTGTGATCACCTTTCCCCATTTTTCTAAACTTGCTTCTCTGCATTTTCCTTTTTCTGTTAATGGAGCACTAGTTCTTCATTCACCAACCCCGAACCTCAGATCAGGACTAGAGTCTGCACTTTTCACTGTGCCCTCCATCCAGTCAGCCCTCTTGGTTCTGTTATGGTTGCTGTTGTGTGCCATTAAGTCAGTTCTGACTCATAACAGCCCCTGCACAGGATTTCCAAGAGCGGCTAGTGGGTTTGTACTGCTGACCTTTTCGTTAGCTATCCTGTACTTATCCTACAGCACCACAGCAGGGCATCTCTTTTAAATTGCTTTTCATTATTATTGCTCCACCCATAGTCACAGTTGGACAACAGATGTCCTAACTCACCTCTCTTTCAATACCTATAATCCCTGACACTTTATGTAACTTCTGAGAGCTTGCATCTGATCACATCATGCCTACTCACAGGATCCAGTGGGGAGTCCATTGCTCAGTCAGCCAGGAAGGAATCCTCATCCTCCTTGTACTCCACATATTTTGCTTTCTAGGCAAACAGCACTTCTCAAAGGAAACCCCTGCGCTGTGCTTCCCCACCACTGTCCTTGGTTCAGAATCTTCTGAATGAGGCATGGTCTCCTGCGCCTTTCTGCTCTTCAGCTCTGTTGGTTGAAATCCTCCCCACTGTCTTTGAACACCCAACTTAAATTCCACCTCCACTGAGAAGCTTTATCTGATTCCAGTGGGATAAATTCTCTCTTCACATCTTAATGCATTTCCTTTTTGCTCTCTTAATGGTAGTGGTTTTCTCCTCTTAGCCTTCCTCTTAGAAGCTAAATACCCCGAAGGTATCTTTGTGGCATCTTCCTTACCTAATACTCCCAGACTAGTTCTACCTTCTGGAGTCCTGGTGTGGCATTGTGAGTTAATGTATATTTGAACCTCAAAGTCAGTTTGAACCACAAGGTCAGCAGTTAAAGCTCACCAGTTGCTCACGAGAAACCCTATACTGGGTCACTATGAGTCGGAACAGACTTGACTTAACAACAACAACAGTTCCATCATCAAGAATGCATTCTTTCGCTCTGTTCTTAAATTTCTCCATCTCAATAATGCTGTTTAAAGGTATCTTCCAATTCTGACATTCTTCGATTATAAGCAAATTCTGTTGGTTTTACTTAACTGATTTCACAAAGTTCTTAAACTTTAGTGCTGTTTCTCAATTCACAGTACCATGTGGTACCTGGCTACATTTAATCATAATGGAGATTTGCAACTTTGTTTATAAACTGATTATTTTATTAAAATTTAAAAATGTCATAACTTATCTCTCATTTGGAATCTAGATTAAAACTTGTGTCTGGAAAATTATACTTAATTTACTCATAGTAGGAGTATGTTCCCTGTTATCTCTTTTTTAAAAAAAATGCTTAAATGGTTTGCTTTTTTTTTAAAAAAAAATCATCAGTATATAAAAGAAAAAAAAAAAAAAGCTACAACAACAACCTAACAGCAAACAAGTGTCGTTTCTAGTCCAGTGATATAATGCACAAAGTACAACTTAGAAAAGAACATTCCCTCCTTGGTTAAAGTGAGACATCATAGAAATTGTATTTATTTTTAAGAACAACTTCTGAAGGCTTTCTCCTGAATAGATGATAATCCTCTCTCTCTGTGGCTCCACAAACCAGAACTTTGAAAGCAAAATAATTAGCTTGGGAAGATGCAATCAGGAGCTCACATAAAAGTGTAAACGTGTTCTGTTTAATAGGTGAATGTTCTTTCTTTGTCCTGCTCCTACCTGAAAGGGAAGATAAATGGCCAAAAGTAGGAGACCAATCAAGGTGCCTTTAAATCCCAGTGCTGACTGACTACTCCACCAGCTTGCCCTCCTCCATTGGGCTGGTGGGACATTCTAGATTTCCAGTGGTTGACATACTCCAATAAAAAAAGAAATTTTCTGTGCCAGGTGAATGATCATCACACAGATTCTGGCCTCACCTGAATAGCTGATAAAGCTGTTGTTGTCAAGTGCCGCTGAGTCAGTTCTGTAGCGACCCTGTATAGGGTTTCCAAGGAGTGACTGGTGAACTTGAATCACCAATCTTACGGTTCAAACTGACCTTGCAGTCCAGCGCATTAGCCCACAGTGCCACAATAGGACTCCGCTAATCAAGTCCACCCCAGCCTCTTCCCAAAACAATAACCCAAAAACCTTCAAATCCATGGCCATAAAATGGATTCCAACACCTAGCAACCTCATGTGTGCAGAGTGGAAATACTCCAGAGGATTTTCAAGGTGGTGACTTTCAGAAGCAGATCTCCAGCCTGTCTGCTGAGGCTCCTCTTTGGTTTGGACAGCCAACCTTTTGTGTCACTTATGAGTTCAGACTAAGCAACTGGCCCAAATATTTGCTTGGAGGACTGATGTACTGGGAGGCTTGACAGCAGTGCCAATGGAGAAGGATGGCAGAAGAGAGAAAGATAATTCCTGCTTTACAGAGAGAGGTGCCAAGGTCTGTTAGTCATTCTCAGGCTGGAGATTGGATCAGCGAACAAGGGTCACTAACTGTTGGCAAGAGAAGAAATTCTTGTGGCTAAAGAAATCCAGCTTCCTCCTCCTCCTCAATCTCACTCCCTACATTCTGAGAGTGGGTCAAGAGTCATTTCTAGTTCTACATGCAGCCATTGTTTTAAATGTAAACTGGTCACTGTATTCATTTTAAAAACTCAGACACACTTAGTTCTTGGAGCTTATGTGGAGTGTGAGGGGGTTTCTGGGGCCACTCCACTACCCAGGGCAGTATCCCAGAGGTATCCTGGACTACAACCGAGAGAAGTGCTGACCAGACAGAACCCGGTGCCTCTGCTAGCATCTCCCAGACAGGATGGATTAGTAGGAAGATGGACTAGAAGGGAAGCCAGAATCTATCCAGTCCAGTGGTTCTCAAACTCAAGAACATCACAGTTACCCAGAGAGCTTGTTATACCACAGAAAGTAGGGCCCTGGACCCCACGATTTTGCATTCATTAAGTCTGGGGTGGGACCTGAGAATATGCAATTCTAAGAAGTTCCCAGGTGACGCTGCTGCTACTGAGGAGGGCAGGGTGGAGGACACCACACTTTGAGAACCACTCATCTAGTCTGATCCTTTAACTTTATAGAGGACTGCAATGAGGCTTAGAGAAGCTTTGAGATTTAGGATCATGCAGCTAGTGAGAGGCAGTCAGCTTGGGGGTGCCTGGAGTTTTGTCCAGCCTTTATGGAGGAGAGGGGCTGCAGTGTTATGCACACTGTAATTGATAGGTCCTGGGGTGTGTTTGAGGGAGCTCTGTGGGTGCTGTAGGATAAGCATTGCACTACTAACTGCAGGGGGTGAAAGATGAGGCTGTCTGCTCCCATTAAGATTTACGGTCTCCAAAACCCTCTATCGTGTTGCTCTGAGTCAGAACTGAGAGTCAGAACTGACTCGATCGATGCCAGTGGGTTTGGTTTTACTTTGGAGCAGGGTGTGCTTGACATACTTGGGTGGCATAAAAGGTAAATACTCGACTGCTAATCCAAGAGTTGGTGGTTCAAGTCTACCCAGAGATACCTCCGAAGAAAATTCTAATAATCTACTTCTGAAAAAATTGGTCGTTGAAAACTCTGTGAAACATAGTTCTACTGTGACACACACAGGGTCAACAGGAGTCAAAACTGACCCCACCCTGACATCTCAACCCCTGACATCTAAATGATTACTCTGTCCAACAGAGGTTTTACCTTCTTGATGCCACAAATCAGATATCTAGGAGCATTTGGAAATTTAATTGTTTTTATATCTAATTTATAAGGTCTGAGTGTCATGTGTTGTTGTTAGGTGCCATTGAGTCACTTCTGACTCATAGCAACTCTCGATAGGGTTTCTAAGGAGCTGCTGGTGAGTTTGAACCACCAACCTCATGGTTCAAACCAACCTTGAGGCCCAGTACTTTATCTTAGCAATACACCAGGACTCAGAGTATAGTATAAGAACTCCAAAACCACACAAATTCGGATCTATAGTGACCCTATAGGGCACAGTAGAACTACTGATCCATAGGGTTTCCAGTGCTGTAAATCTTTATGAAGGAACTCCGGTAGCATAGTAGTTATGAATCAGGCTGTTAATCTCATGGTCAGTAGTTCAAAACTACCAGCTGTTCCATGGGAGAAAGATGAGGCCTTCTGCTCTCGTAAAGATTTACAGCCTTGGAAACCCTATGCAGAGTCACTATGAGTCAGAACCAACTCCACGGCACTTAACAAGAACAACAACAACAACAACAAATCTTTATGGACACAGACTACCATTTCTTTCTTCCATGGAGCAACTGATGGGTTTGAACCACTGATCTTTCAGTTTGCAGCCAAGTGCTTAATCACGGTGCCACCAGAGCTCCTAAGTATCATATAGACTTGATCCTAAAGTACTTACAATGTGCTTGATAGAAATATACAGCCAGGAAGGACCAACAGATACAGGCATCTATGGACTTAATTGGTCTCTTCCAGGGCAGGTGCGCGCTGGCTGCATTAATAGATACTTAACCTATTGGCTTGAATTCTTAGAAGCACATATTAAAATGAATGAGGTAAGATTATAATTATTATTATCATTATTGGCCATAATTATGTCATTAACCCTCACAACCACTCTGGGAAGTATGCATTATTCCTATTTTACTGATGAGAAAACAGAGCGTTCCCTCAAATATACCCGGTAACATTAAGTAACCTGATCACATTCACACACCTGACAGAACTAAAACTCCAAGCCAGACCTGCCTATCCCCTGTATTAGGGCTTTTGCCCACCCTTTCAATCTGTTGGATGAGCAGGTGGACTGTAATTAGGAACCTTTGATCTCATAAGGTCCCCTGCTCAGCCACTCCACGTGGAGGGTCTGATAGATGCTGTCTATTTGAGACTCTGCATCCTACTGCTTGAGACATGGGGTAGCTCAGATTCTTAACATGTCCCTGGAAGGTGTGGGGTCAGCCTGAGAGCACAAGGCCATTCTCCTTCCAAACCGGCTTAGAGGCCACATTTGCCTGGGTCACTATGAGCCACTCCTTACCCAGTGATCAGCAGTTTGATTTGACCCCCATTCCTTAGCCTGGGGATTATTCCCAGCTTTCACTTGGGGTGCCTAGCTTCTTGCAGCTCTAGAGTGAGGAACCCCTATGAGGCAGATGCCCCCCAAGGTGCTTACCTCCGTGTGGCCAGGACGGAAAGATGCTCCCTTGGAAAAGTCTTTATTGGGCCCAGACGCTGAGCTGAGCTTGGGTCCAGCATGCCATCCAGTCCCTGGGACTGCACGACCACAGGTCAGGACTCTGTGGGGAGAGAGCTGGCATTAGATGGGCATGCCACCACATTCCAGCAGATGGACATCCATGCTTTAGGCAGGAAGGGAGAGATGTGCCAATAGGACAAACCGCCTTGCCCTGAGTTTTGGGATTTTACCAGCATCATGGCCCAGGAGGAGGTTAGAGATGAGTTGTAGAAATTCCTAGGGATCCAACCTTCCATGGAAGGATGGGGTAGGGGAGGGCCATGGGGAAGAGGGCACTGTTTCTCACTCTTGTACCAAAGCCTCTTGGTTTATGCCCAGATACAATCCATGTCTAGCCTTACATCCAGACCTACACCAGAGTCCTGCTCTGGCAGACCCCTAATCCAGCATCAGAATGGAAATGATTCTATTGATATCTGGACATAGGGCTAAGTAGACCCAATGTAAGTAGCACTAATTTTGAACCAGCCCAACTGGTAAAACAAATTCTACAGATAAAAAAGAAAACTCAGAGCAAGTTGATGCTTTGATAAAAATGCAGATCAACAATGGCAAATAAGACAGTCTGACTATTTGTCGGAGCTTTTACAGAACTAGGGTATTGATCTCAGAACTATGCTGAAGGTCAAATTCTAGGAATTGGAAACTATGGAGATAATACAATGAGAAAAGAACGACATTCCATTTTAGGTTGTAATTTCTAGATGTAGTGGAAAGTCTCTATTCTCTCCTAATTCCATAAACCTGATACATGAGGGGGTTTCAAAAAGTTTGTGGGGAAAAATTGAATGATAGGATACTTTCATTTCATTCAATTTCATTCGGTTGTAGGTTGTAATTTTAGATGCAGTGGAAGGTTTGTATTCTCCCCTGATTCCATAAACCTGATAAACGAGGCGGCTTCAAAAAGTTTGTGGGAAAATCGAATGGTAAGATAATGGAATTTTTCCACGGCCTTTTGGAAGCTCCCTCGCATGTAGGTGTCTTATTCATTCATTTAAAAAACATTTCCTGAGCACCTACTATGTGCTAAACACTGTTCTAGTTCTAAAGAAAAACAGTGAATAAGATAGACAAGGTCTTGGCTCTCATGACGCATATAGTCTTTTGAAAACAAGGTATCTTCAGGTTCTGCATGTGCCATGAAGGAAGTAAGCAGGATATTGTGATAGAGGACTACTGCAGGGGATAGTAAACAACTGAAAATTCAGTTGACATGGAAGTCAAGGAAGAGTTCTCTAAGGAGGTTGCCTTCAAATTGAGATTATAAGGATGGGAAAGAACCAGAGGGAGATCAATCCAGGCAGAAGGAACAGCAACTGAATGTTCCTGGTGTGGAAGTAAATGAAAGTCTCTGAGCAGGTAGAGAAGATATCTATAAAATGAGTTAGAATGGTAGAAGTAGCCAAGTCTGCAAGGCCATAGTAAGGAGCTAAGGTTTTATCCAAAGGGCATGAGGGAGGTGATGAGGATATTCAAGCAGGGGAATGACATTACTTTTTAAAAAATGAGTGTATGATTATATCTATTGCAGAGGTTTTAGTAGGGTGAGGTACAGTCCCCTGTCCTCTCAAATAGTTCTAGAATGGCATCTTTAACCTCCCTATCTGTATTCTTTTTCCACCTCCAACAATCCCTATTTGGGGTGTCGCTCCTGATCACTGATATTCCCTCAACTTCCTCCCATCTTGTGCTGCTGGAAGCAAATATCAGTGAAGCTCCCCAACCCTCATACACAAAGAAGAGATGGAGAGCAGAGGAGATAGGATGGGTCTCTGGAGTAAGTTTTGTGCTATTAGAAATAATAAAATGAAGGATTGTTATGTTTCCATTCCTCTTCCTTCCCCATTTTGCTCAAAATCTTTTTTTGCCTTAGAAAGTATCAGACCCCCCACCCATGCTCAATTGACAGCTACTCAAATACCCTAAAGATAATTACATTGTGGGGCAAAGCACATTATATTCTTTATTTCCTGATCTTGGTTTAATACAGGAGAAAGAGAATACCATATCACCAAGGTAAGACGTGGGCTCTATGGAGCCTGGTCCTAACGCTCTCAGAAAACAGTGTCTGGTCCAGTCCTCAAGCCCGTCATCTGTGTGTGGCCAAGCTTGACAGATTACCAGACTGGAACCAACAGCATCCTTGTCCAATTCACCCTGAAACCTGAGTAAATCACTCGACATCTCTATCAGAGCTTCCTCCTTTTAAAGACGAGGCGCTGGCAGAGACAATGACTAAGATGTCTTAGCTCTAAGCAACTGTATTCATTGAGAGTTAATATTTTCCACCTGCATCCCTACTGAACGCTTAAGTAATGTTTCTCCTTCCCAAACACTAGAATTATTTGTTTCATTCATTAAAGACTTAAACTTTCAAATGCTACCCAGCCACTATACTAGGTGCTAGAGACACACACAAAAGAATTAAATACAATATTGAATTTCCAAGAGCAAATAATATAGAGGTGAGAAAAGGCAAACACATGGACAAGCATTTAAAATATAATGTGGTAACTATGGTATGGAAGCATAGTAGAGACAGGAATTCGTTTTATCTGGGCAGACTAGCTTGGTATACAAGTTCACAGAGGAGGTAGCATCTGAGCATGGTTCTTGGGAAGAAGGGAAGAAAAAGCAGGGCAGAGTCAGAAAAAGCAGGACTAGCCTGAGGACCGACCTGGCTTAGTACATCTAGTATGGGGACATGTGGAGGAGGGTAAGAGGAGTATGTGCTAGACCTCACACATCACTAGGATGCTAAAGAATCTTCAGAGCTCACTGTTGTGAACTCCAGTCTCAAATAAAGCTTTATACATGACATGAAAGCCTCCATTTTTAATCTGTTGGATAACCAGACAAATAAAAGTAACTCTTCTGAAAATATTTTGGATATTCCATCATAAATCAGCCTGGCTTCCAATTTAGAAGACCAGAATGTTTGCGTCAAAAATTCTGCAACTCCTAGGCAAGAAGGTCTCTTAAATATCTACAATCTCTGTCCCAAGTCACCTTGACACATGTCAGGGTTTCTTGCCAATTTCACTGGGAGGCCTGCTTGCAGTATTTGAGATCCTGACTGGCATCTTCTATGCCTTTGGCCTTCTCTTGCTCAGTCTTGGTATTGATAGTTGTTATTGTTGTTGTTAGATGTCATTGAGTCCATTTTGACACATAGCAACCCCACTGATAGAGTAGAACTGTCTTAAAGGTTTTCTTGGCTGTAATCTTTATAGGAGTAATCACCTGGTCTTTCTCCTATGGAGATACTAGGTAGATTTGAACCTCCAGACATTTGGTTAGCAGTTAGTGCTTAATGCTTGTGCCACCAGGGTTCCTTAATAGTTACTGCTGTTGTTAAGTGCCTTCGAGTCGATTCCGATTCATAGCAACCCTTATAGGGTTTCTGAGGAATGGCTAGTGGTTTGAGCAGCTGACCTTGTGATAAACAGTCCACTGCTTATCTTACAGTGCTACACCAGGAATCTGCTGATGAGCAATTCTCTGTCTGGAATGGTAAAACCAATGATTTTCATAGATATTGTTGTTACTGCTTTTAGTCTCATGCTTGTAAAAATTGGGGCTCTAAAATCAAATACAAATTTAAGATTATCAAACTACAATGCAAAGCTATTACGGAAAACCTTAAATGCATATATATTCTAAACACATATTTGTTCTCATGGGGTAATCACTTAAGCAGAAATCAGATGATTCTCAAATTTTTGATAAATGCATGAAAATGTGTCCTAGTTCATTCAAAACCATGTCTTATCCTTACTTAATATTAACATTACTGTCTAGTGACCTTCTCTGGACCCCAAAAGCCCTGGCCTGCTCTGGATCTCAAGTTTTAAAGCAGTGATTCTTAAAGTGTACTCCACAGACAGCAGCATCAACAGTATGTCTGAATTTGTTGGAAATGTAAATTCTTGGGCTCCATGACAGACAAATATAATAAAAAATCTGGGAGTCAAAACCCAGCAATCTGTGTTTTAGTAAGTCCTGCAGATGATTCGAATGCACACTCAAGTTTGAGAAGCATTGCTTTAAAGGTTCTCACCCTGGCCCTCCTCCAGCTGCAACCTTACCACAGGGTAAGGGATTCATGGAGTACAGAAAGTGCTAACCGGAAGCCAGAGCTCCGTGTCACCCTAACAAACCTTGCTCCCAGGACTCAGACCTCAGGACTCCTTGTTCAATCAGTGCAAAGCCTGCTTTCAGGCCACTTCCCCAGATGCACCAATCCAAGGGCAGCAGTGATGCTCATGTGTGTACATGCAGGGTGGCAGGGAGCAGGGGGCAAGTTTGGTCAAAAGAATTTGCATAGAATTTAGATCTGTGGACTTCAGTGGTCCCATCCATGTGCAGGAGGCTTCTTGTGATATAAGCCAGAAGCGAGAAGAAAAGATGGACCCTCTGTTACTCTTGCCTTGTTGTCAGGTGCCATCGAGTCGGAACC